CTGGCAGTCATGCATATGCTCTGGAACAGAGTAATATCGCGTCCATATCGCAGGCTTTGCGATTAGGAAATCGCAACGTCTCAAATCGCGATTTCGATTCGATTTCGATTAATCGCACAGTCCTAGTACAAACTAATTAATATTTATAAGCTAAGCCATTTTTGTCACCCCTTGTCAGTTACAGGGATGTTCAATGAAAGTCAATGGGGTCTAATGTTGAGGGTAAGTAAATAATGACTGAATTTTCATTTTTTTTTAGGAGAATTATGCCATTTAGTGTTCTGTGCTTGTACTTGATGAGATTTTTGTGTTATGATTGAGTGAGGTACAAAATACAGGGGAAAAGAGAGAGTGAGTCCGTTGAGTCACTGCATACAAACACACATCTGCTCGTAAATCTAACCTCAATTGTCAAGAGTAGATCTGGTTTTTCACTTTCATCCCCTCATCAAAATAACTCTGTGATGAAATTGCTGCTTGTGGACAGACATTTTGTGAAAAGTAGCTCATCCACCTGTAGATTTGGGCTTGTTTGGCAGCAGACATGAAGTGAATGAATGGAAAACTAGTCTTTAGAGAGAGATGATAGAGAATTCCCTCATGTTATTAAGCACAGGATTGAGTTCAGTGTGTCTGAATGATAAAATATATAGGTTTGGTTGATAGACATATATGGAGTGACAGTTTAGCAACTCTGAACGGTACACATGTCGTCAGCTGAAAGTCTTTATCGTTTATTGTATTTTTTTTTTAATTATGTTTTTGACTTATGTTTTTGACATTCTTAAAGGGATAGTTCACCCAAAAATGAAAATTTGATGTTTATCTGCTTACCCCCAGGGCATCCAAGATGTAGGTGACTTTGTTTCTTCAGTAGAACACAAACGAAGATTTTTAACTCAAACCGTTGCAGTCTGTCAGTCATATAATGGAAGTGAATGGGAATCACGGCTTTGAGAGTAAAAAAAAACACACACAAACAAAACCAAATTAAACCCTGCGACTCGTGACGATACATTGATGTGTAAAGACCTGAAACGATCGGTCTGTGCAAGAAACCGAACAGTATTTATATAGTTTTTTTTTTTTACCTCTGATTCACCGCAATGTCCGAACTGTCCTGAGCACGTACTCAACAGCCCTGGTACATGACGCGTCTTCTTGCTTTACGGCAGATCGCAGACTTATAAGTGCATTACCGCCACCTATCTCTCAAATATGGACCATTGACACTCCTAATTGAGATTGTAGATAGTGCCAATGGTCCATTTGAGAGATAGGTGGCGGTAATGTTTTTTTTTTACTCTCAAAGCTGTGATTCCCATTTACTTCCATTATATGACTGACAGACTGCAATGGTTTGAGTTAAAAATCTTCGTTTGTGTTCTACTGAAGAAACAAAGCCACCTACATCTTGGATGCCCTGGGGGTAAGCAGATAAGCATCAAATTTTCATTTTTGGGTGAACTATCCCTTTAACTCTACAGGGGTCAGAGAAACCTCTCTTGAGAGCTACAGCTTAAAATGATGAAAGAATGAATGTGCTTATGTCAATTTAAAATGGCTGCTTAGAAGAAAACAAATCTGGTTTAAATCCAGATTATATGCATGATATATTTGGGTTGTATAAACCTCGCTGAATAAATCTGCTCAGTCTGTTTGTGGTTGTCTTCTTCACTTTGATATTTGGCATTGAAGTTCCCACAAAATTAACCGAAGAAGACAAAAAATTGAATTATTTCATGAGATTTTTATCTTGCTCATTTTAGATTTGCACGGCTAATGAACAGCACTTGGGCTGCCTCGTTTTTTTTTTTTTACGATTCTTTGCAGTCATTCGCAACCGATCGTGAAATTGGGAAAATGCATCTGAAATGGATTGACTAAGAGCAGATGCTTAATGAAGAAGGATGATCAGCAGGTTTTGTCGATTGTGAATGTCCTGGTTCTCTTTAATTGTGAGACCTAAATGAGACATATTAAAGATCCTTGTTTAAAAAATGTGTTCAGTAAGAAAAGGCACAGCTATTTAAATTAATGTTGACTTGATATCAGATGCAGAAATCCTGGTCATTTCAAAGGATTGTATTTGCCTGTGACACTCTATCATATAGAAATGAATTTTTTTATCCATGTATCTCTGTCTCCATCTCTTTCACTGTCTAATGTGCTCTTGTTCCTCACAGCGGTCCAAGAGGAAGAAAATCGCAGCAGTGATACCTCGACCTCGGAGCAGAAGAAAGAGATCCTGCCCCGTGTCATAGAGAGTGATCTTCTCCTAAAGGTGACTGCTTTGCTGTGGGCTTATGACTGGAGTTTTCTACAGCACAGTTTAGAAATGGTTTCTTGTCAAAGAAAAAAAATTGTAGATTTCCTTGGCCAATTGAAATTCTTTGGCCCAATCTACTGAAAAAAAAAATCTCTTGACTATGACTATTGACACATATTTAATATCTTGTAGTCTCTCCCTGGATTTGCACTGATCGTGAGCTCGGATGGCGTTATTTTCTATGCATCATGCACTATCGTTGACTACCTGGGATTTCATCAGGTAACCCTCACTGTAAGCCCAAATAGTAAATCTTTGATAAAGGAATTGGGTTGTAATTACTCAAAAGAAATAAAATTCATTCGAATGAAAACGTTCATTCGCCTCATTTTTTTCATTTTTTGAGTAATTAGTATAAAAATGTAATTTTAAGTTTACAGCACTGTTGCTCGCTGACTCGCCTCGGATTTAATTTTTTTGAAATAAGTTTGCAATGCGCGAAAGACTAAAAAAATAAATAACGTAGGAGGGGATATTTTTTGATTGCCTGTGAGGACCTTTGTGGGTAAATGCGGCATGCGGTGTTCTGAACCTGCTGGTGATAAGCTTCTCTTCATTGTGCTAAAGTTACCTGCGCAACTGGTTAGTTAACATTTAAGTACTTTGTTTTATTTGTTTAAATCTATGGTTTAAATGGTGTTTAGTGTCTTAGCAGTTAATGCATTTTATGCATTTGCAAATGATTTGAGCCATTTTATCCCGCATCACTAAAGGTCAAAAATCGATTGAATTGTTGAATCAACTGTATTTAGATTTTTTTTTTTGTTAAAAGTCTGTCTTTTTGCATCGAGTGTGCACACATTAAAATGTTTTCGGGTAACAAATTGTAATGACCTCAAAACGTATATTTCATTATAATTGCCTCGCATTGCTGGACATAAAGTAATGATTTTCATAGAGGTTTCACAATAATTTGATTCACTTTGTTCCACAAGTTGTACAGTTTTTTATGGACAGGTATTTATAAATGTATTCAAGTACGTTAACATTACATTAGTTGGCTCAAGCCATACCAGTAAAGCTTGTTATTTACCAAAGACATTTATGTTCTTAACATTTAACAAATCAGATTATACAGTATGAATAAATATTTTACGAAGGTAAACTTAATTGTAATGTAGCAAAAATGTTCAAGTCATCTTTATTTAATTTTAATTGGTTCTGTGAACCCCAAAACTCCTTGTAAAATGAACTTGATCAATAATGTTGTAGTAACTTGTAAGATTAAGTTAATATCAGTTAAAATTACTTAGTAACATTTACTTAAAAAAATTATGTTTCTTTAACTTATAAAATTTAGTTAATATAACTTAAAAATTTCGATGTAATCAGTTTCAACTATTTTTTTGAGTTATATTAACTTACCCGGTTTTACAGTGCTCAAATAAGTTTATGATTTAATGTTTATGATCTAAAACATCCCGTAACTTGTTCAAATGCTCACATTTACTAAGTTTATATATGTGTGTGTGTGTGTGTATATATATATATATATATATATTGCGAGAGAGAGGTTTTTCACTGCACGGCAGTTATTGTAGTAGTATTTGTAATTAGCTTTCATATGTGACAATCCAAACAAGTAATATATAAATTCAGTATGTGACCCGTTTTAGCTTTTTAAACTGTTCTCAAATAAAATTCTCTGATGAGACAGGAAATCTAAACAACAATCATGTGTGGTTGTATAAGAAATACCCACGCCATCTGTGGTTGACTAGAAAGCACAGAAGTATGTCGTGTTCAAGGCCTCTTCCACCATAATGTGTAAAAATAGTTACGTCTTTTCAATCCTCGGTTAATTTAAGACTTTCTCACAGCCTTCAAAGAGTCAGGCTTCCTCTGCAAACAAACCATCTCCTCCAAGAAGGAAATGTTGATTGGAAATTAAGATGACACAGGGGTGTGCTGGTCATGAAAGTGTGCTAAAAGCCTTGCATGTCCCACACTGGGAAATAAAGGAAAGGTTGAATATTTTGTAGTATTAAATAGTTTGTTGTTCATTAACAGCGGGTTTGGTCATGTGAGCTGGTATTTCAGGCTTTTGTTTGGTTGTTCTTCAGTGTAGAGACATGTCTGTCCGCATGCAAGCAGCCAGGGTGTCACGCAACAAACACATGGGGACAGTACAAAGGAGAGAGAGGAACAGTATAAGACCTATGTTGAACTCAAACATGGGTTATTACAAGCATAACAGCTATAAATGTCAGCTCTTAGTGATGCACTGCTCTGTGCCATAGCTCTGACATTTAAATGATTATTAATAGTTACCAAAGCAAACGCACAATAATAATTGCATGAATTATGAAGTTATTTGACTATCTGCTAGGAACCTCACAGCCTAAAATGTCTTTGAAAAAGATTTTACCAGCATTCAAAGTGACAGCAATTACATTTTGATCAGTCATGTTTCTAATGTGGTTTGACGTAAAACTGAATTAGACTGTAAACTTCAGAGCAGTTGTTTACTGTACCCCATACAACTGTGTAGAGGTCCGCACAAAACACTCATGTGAGAGCTAGAGCGCTTCTGAAATATACACATTCTGGTTTTGTGTTGGTGTGTGTGATCTTTTCTGGCAGACGGATGTGATGCATCAGAAGGTCTTTGATTATATCCATGTGGAGGAGCGACAGGAGTTTCACAGGCAGCTCCATTGGGCGATGAACCCTGGCCAGCAAGACACTGGTGTGTGTGTATAATTACCATTAACCCTAAATAGCACACTGCATGTGATCTCAGAAGACTGGGAATAAATTGGGCAAGTTGTATGGAATATTTTTTTATACTTTTTTGCTGTTTTACATCCATTTTGAAGCTTATAAGCTCCAGCCATTTGTCTGTCATTAGACACTCGAGTCATTGGTTTCTGAGCTATGTCTGTTTGTGTGCGCTCTAGTTGATGAGGATGCTGTGATGGGTCATCTGTATAGCTCTGAAGAGCCTGACGGCGTTCCTCCTAAATTGTCTCCGTTCCTCACACGGTGCTTCGTCGCTCGAGTCCGCTGCCTGCTGGACAGCACCTCTGGCTTCCTGGTCAGTCATGAAATCACTCAAAATATTGAACTTTAGTGGTTTTATGATCTCTTTCAAAATTCAAACTCTGATCTGACGTATCTAATTAAGGTTGAGAAGCTTTAATTAGGAGGCTCAGACCTTCCCAAATGTACGTTTCCACACAGTATGTCGACTGAATTTGTCTCTCTTTGATTTGCTCTTGTGTCCTGTAGAACATGCAGTTTCAGGGCAGCCTGAAGTTCCTGCAGGGTCAGAAGAGGAAGACAGACTCTGGAGCTCTGCTGCCGCCTCAGCTTGCTCTGTTCTGTGTGGCTGTTCCTCTAGTCCTGCCGTCCATCATGGAGCTCAAGATGAAGAGTATGATGATGAAGAGCAAACCCAATAGGTCTGGCAGCAGGTACACTGGGACATGAAAAGTACAAAAAGAATATTGTGTATATATATATAGTTACAGATGCATAAATGTTTTGTTTTTAACATAAAACGTTCAATTCTGATATTTTAAATTATTTAAAACATGACTAAATGTGAAATGAAAACCGCCAGTAGGTGACCGCAACGGACTGTTAATGAGTGAGTCATTGAGATTCAACCGATTCATTCAAACGACTGATTCATTCAGAAACAAAGCATTTGACAGTTTCAGGGTTTCTTTTTTTTTTTTTTTTACCCCACCCCACGGCTGGTGCCACCAAATTAAGGCCCAGCGCCACCACTCTCAAATGTTAGTCTGGAGCCCTGTGTATATATATATATATATATATATATATATATATTAATTAATTAATTAATTAATTAATTGTGCACAGTCAGTTTTTGGGGTTTAGGGTCAATACAATAAAAAAAATAATACTTTTATTCAGCAAGCATGCATTAAATCATGCATTTTTTTAAATTAAAAAAAATTAAACTTTCTATTCTTCAAAGAATCTTGAAAAAAATGTAGCATGGCGCATTAAATTGATCACAAGTGACAAAGACGTTTATAATGTTACATACAGTACATTATATTTATAATGTTTTCTGTCTCGTAAACATGGGTATTTCTCATTTCAAAAGCATACAATTATTATTGACATGTTATTGAAATGTTATTTATTTGACCCCTTTTTTGCACACTGGCCCCTCTGCAGATCTCTTCTTTTTAAATTTCTATGACAGCTACCGGATGTGTCTTTTGTCATCAACATGCATCTCCAGACACCTCATTGGAACTAATAATTCATATTAGCTCATATTTGTGGAGCATTTTTTCTCTGTAATCTCTGGTTTAAAAAAATAGCTAGCTGCACTGCAAGTTCTTCTGGTTGAGTCTCATGGCAATTTGCCGAAATCAGTGCCGCACGGAGCGCACCCTGTCAGAATCCAGATTGAGCAGAGCTTAATTTCCCCCTTTTCTCGCAAGAGCTGAGAAGAAAAGAGAGAGATGGAGGGAGAGAGAGAGAGAGATGAAGCCTGCAGCAAGCCTGTGGGTCACCCAAAATGACATCTGAGTTTCAGGCTAAGCAAACTGAAACAGACTGGCCATATGCTGTTAGTGAGCTGTCAGTTTTTAGGTAGGGATGGCGGAGAATGTGGTATCTGTGAACCACCATCAAACAGAGCCAAAGAACACGATGAAAGGGTCAGAACAGTGGTGGGGTGCTGAGATAACATCATGCATCTCTGCACTTTTTGTAGTCACGCTGAATTCAATTCTTAGAAAGTTTTTTTTTTATATTAAAGATAATGTGGTATATAGCTACTTTAGCTGGACTGCCTGATGTACCATGTAAGTATATTCATACGTCAGCGTGTTTACAAATGCTTCTATATAAGTGCGATTTTGCAGTATCAAGTTTGGCTGTTTATTTTGAGGATGAATAGGGAAATGGGGGTAAGATGATATGCAGTATGATGCTGGCCTCCAGTTAAAGTATGTGATTCGATCTCTTTAAAATCTTGGTTGTATCTCCTTGGCCCCTATAAAAAAGTAATATATTTAAAATACATTTATTTCTACTGTGACACTGAAGACTGGAGTAATGATGCTGAAAATTCAGCTTTACAGTACAGGAATAAATGGCAGGAATAAATGAAGAAATTATTTTATTATTATTTATTTTTATATATTCAAATAGAGCAGTTATTTTAGGTTGTAATAATATTTCACAATATTACTGTTTTTACAGTATTTTTGATCAAATAAATGCAGCCTTAGTGAGCATAGCAAAAACATTTAAAAATCGTACTGATCCCAAACTTTTGAAAGGTAGTGTACAGTGGTACTGTATGATTACTGTGGTGATATACCATGGTATTGATACACTATTTAGTCATAGTAGTATCCAAAAATATGGTACCTTGTCTTTTGTAAAGGACACAAAGATTTAGACAGGACAAGATGTAATTTGTGTGTAGAAATGGTCTTTTAATCAGTTTAACTTCATCTTTACAGTATTTTTGATCAAATAAATGCAGCCTTAGTGAGCATAAGTCTTGCAAAACATGATCCCAAACTTTTGAAAGGTAGTGTACAGTGGTACTGTATGATTACTGTGGTGATATACCATGGTATTGATACACTATTTAGTCATAGTAGTATCCAAAAATATGGTACCTTGTCTTTTGTAAAGGACACAAAGATTTAGACAGGACAAGATGTAATTTGTGTGTAGAAATGGTCTTTTAATCAGTTTAACTTCATCTTCAGTGATAAGCGGCAGCAGGTTTCCCATGGCTCATTTGACTGTGAAGACATGCAGTGTCTTAACTGGACAAGCACATCCGGTCATGATGGTTCGTGTTCAGCCATGGCCAACAGGAAGTACAGAGGAGAGGGCTGCAAAACCCAAGACGAACCTCTCAACTTCTGTGTTTCTACTCTGGGCATCTCTAGATTGCAGGCTGTTGAACCTTCCTGGGACGCCCACTGTCCTGTTGCCTTACGCACGGGGCCCAGTGAAAACTACCTGCCTGGAAGCTTCTATAAGCACAGCCATTCTGGAAAATTACGATACGGGTGTAACACAGAATTGCAGAAGCTTGAGAGTGATTGCATCAACAGGAAGGCTGAGAGAAGGTCCACGCAGAATGAATGTTTTAACGTGATTCCTGAAGTGGCCATTAAGACTGAAGATTCAGACTCTGAGAATGAGTGTAATGCATACGGGTCACTTTGGCGCCCTGAATATGCACAGGTGAAAACCGAGGCTGAATATTATGACTGTTTTACTTCATATCAAAGGGGCAAAGCTGTCATCAGTCCTCCCATCAACGGACACCACAAGTATCTGTGTGCAGGAGTCAGCAGACCTCTTAAGTGCGTCCTGAACAAAGACATGAATCACTCTGAAGCTCCTATCAGCAGTCAGGACGGATATGCGTTTTCAAATGATCATAAAAGCTGCATGCAGCATGATATCCGGCTGACTTGTGAGTTCAAGAGTCATAACCTTCTGCACACGGTCAAACAAGAACTTGACAACTCTCCACCTTGGTGTGCTGATGTTAGTCAAGGGAATGTGCGACAACGTATTACTTCAAATTACACTATGAACACTGTTCTACACAAAGCAAACCCGTATGTTTACATGCAGTAAACTCTGTGATCACGTTAACATTGCTTTTTACATGCTTGCAAGGTATATTAATATTCTTCTTCCTTTTTTTTTTTTTGTTCTTCCACAAAATTCTGCAATTAATTCAGCCCGAACTGAAATCCTTATAAGGGAAAACACGATTCCTAACACCGTGTCTACACCAGACGCGAGCAACGCGGCACGACAAAATACTATAGAACCACTGATATATATTATAGAGATTTATTATATATAAATTCTGCAATTAATTCAGCCCGAACTGAGTAACGTACAAACGTTTTCAAAGATAACTTTGGTGTGTAAGAAATAGGGTTGGGCGATGTCTACAAAATTGGCATCGGACGATGTCTACATTAAAATTTCATTCTATTTATGATGTGCTGACACAAATTTCAAATGATTTTCAATGGTCGTTTTGTCGCGTCCAGTGTTGACAGACTTTAGCTGATGCGGCGCGGCGCGACACGACAACTGTCGCTTCCGGTGTAGACACTGTGTAACGGTTGCCTGTTACATTATAGTACATAAAATTTCACTTACCACATAAACAGAGTAAGGAGAGATGACTGAGGACGATGGCACTGATGCAATGATTTGCAGATCCTCAGTACCACTGACAACCATATAATCTTGTAAAATGTGTTAAGTAGCTACTGCCGCTCCATAGTATAAACGGAGTATGTGCGATCGCGAATCTCGAAAGTGAAACTAAATGCGATTATGCATTCAAAAGCACGATGATGCAAGTTTCAATGCCAGGTATAATAGCGGCTCCCTGATGCCGAAATATATATGTGGTATTATTACTCAATGATATTACTGCGAGGAAAAATAGTGCAATATATATTTTCCTCCCATCTCGTATTTATTCCCTTTAGGGGTTCTGCCTACACGTCATTTTCTTTCCGAACACGGTATTGGGATGCGGGGGGTCACGATGCCGGCTCAACATCGTGATGTTAGAAATGTAAGATGAAAGTTTGAAAATCTCCCATTGACGTCAACTGAAAGAATGCTTAGCATTCAAAATCTGCCCACAGGTATGATGTCACCGTCTTATTTGCATGCTGAATTGAGATTTGTCACCTGAAATCAAGTCATGATGACAAAATAGTTCTATAGAAGTTCTAAATATTTTTTCCACCAAATTCTAAACATTAACTTACCTAAAACGTATTGTGTTTGCTGCCTTGCAAGTGCTGGTATTTCCATCAGGACTTAAACTAAAAATTAGTTTGAATTTATTTTATTAGACAATTTCAGACTGTTTAATTAAACACAAATACTCAGGTTCATAGATGTTTTGGATATGCTTTGTATTTTGTCACTTTTAGGTACAGATTTTGGATTTATTGTGATCCAATGTGATGTTGATGTTGAAAATGTATACAGACAAATAAAGATAATTTCCCAAGTCAAAATGTATTTGTGTATAGCATTTTAGGTTTTTCAAAGTGCTTAAACATGCATTTGCTTCATAAATAAATTTGTTTTGGTTTCAACTGGTCTCCATTTTATATGAAACCACAGTTAAAATCATATTAATCTTTTTTGGTTTGTTTACTTTATTTATTTTTTTATTGTGGGAAGTAGTCTTTATGAAGGAATCCTGTTTGTAAATATATGCAGGTTGTTTTGCTGTTATAGCCCATGCTGTCATATTTGATATTTCATTACACAATTTTATGCTGAATTGCCCACTATATAGATAGACATGATTTATCTATCCCAGAGAAAATTCACATTATCTGCTCTCAGACTGTGAAACTATTGCTGGCCAAAACACTGGTTATATTAAATATATACTTTATTATGTATAATAATAATAATGGTATATAATGTATTAATATTTATAATATATATTTATTGTAGTGACTCCACAGTTTCAAGCAGTTTCAGCACTGTGTATCTACATGAGTTTTGTGTTAACCTTTTATTAACTTATACATTATTAATACATTAATAATAATTAAAACACTTCAATAAATATTAAAACATTATTATTATACATAAAGTATATATTTAATAAAACCAGTGTTTTGGCCAGCAATAGATTTACAGTCTGAGAGCAGATAATGTGAAAATTATTATTTTAATAAATAAATATATAGATATATAGCGATAGTCCGTTTTCTGCGTAAAGCCTGCGCACGGTTGATGCTCTCGGCGCAGGCGCTGCCGTCATCTGACTGAGTTGGGCGACACCAGGAAGACGCAGCTGTTATGACAGTAAATGAACAGGATAAACACGTTGAAATAAAATCTCAATGAACCGCTTATAACAACTCATAGCTCGTAAAACAAACACCTCCGGGTGAGTACCTTCACATAACCTCGAGATTTAAACGGTATATACATGAAAAAGCGCAGTCCTCTGAATGCTAATGTAGTTAGCCAGGTAGCATCTGTCAGTGTCGGCCTTTAAGCACGATTTATACGATTATTACAATAAATAAAACAGTTTTATTTGATCTATTTCCTAAACCATAACGTTACCTATTTCGAGCAGGTGTCTTAACTATCTTTATCTGTTTGTGTTAGCTTGGTTACTGCATGCTTAACCAGCTGCAAACATACAAATACAGATGTACAAATGCACAGATATAGGAAAGTATATCAAAAACACAAAACACACCAAATATTAAAATACTTAAGTATCTTTAACCTTTGCCGTTTATGTCATTTTGTTAAGATTTAACGTCTGCTGTTTGATTCACTTCAGTGCATTAATAGGGACAAAAAAAATAAGTGAAATTATTTTATTTCTCATTTTCAGTTATTCTAAGCTGATGAATGTAACTAAAATATAAATAAGCATTTATTTAAAAACAAAAACTATGTAGGCATGTTTTTATAAAAGCAGAAACTAATAAACACAAAAATTACTAAAACTTTAATTACAATTGAAGCAGGATTAAAACATTTAAAGCAGAGAATATAAAAATAAATACTAATTCAAAATATTAATAAAAATTATTATAGTCTCTCTGTGATACTAAAATAACACTGCAGTCCAATTAACCCTTGCTGTTTTGTGTCATTTTAGTACCTTTCCTGCTATTAATAATATTTACTGCTATTTCAGTCATTTTGAGTACATTTAACCCTTGTTGCTCGGGTCAGGTCATTCATATTTTTGGTCCTGCAGTCATTTTCAGCACTTTAAACCCTTGCTGTTTTTTCCATTTCAGTACCTTAAACCTGCTGTTTTGGATCGGTTACTATGGAGGAGACGAACAGAGAGGCTGTTGCCACGGCAGTGCAGAGGGTTGCTGGGATGCTGCAGCGCTCGGACCAGCTGGACAAAGTGGAGCAGTACAGACGGAGAGAGGCGCGCAAGAAAGCATCTGTGGAAGCAAGATTAAAGGTGATGTTATTTGCATTTACCCATCTGTTGATCTGGGGAATGCTTTTACCAGTTCATTTAAACCAGGCCATTTGATCATTTTTCAGGCTGCTATTCAGTCTCAGTTGGATGGGGTACGAACAGGCCTCACGCAGCTCCATAACGCACTGTGTGACGTGAAAGACATCCAGAACTCTCTGGCAGACGTCAGTAAAGACTGGAGGCAGAGCATCAACACCATAGAGAATCTGAAGGATGTGAAAGATGCTGTGGTTCAGCACAGTCAGCTGGCTTCAGCCGTCGAGAACCTCAAAAACATTTTCTCAGGTGAGACCGGATGCTTCTGGAGATGAAGGAAAAATTAATTTACTGTAGTTGGGTTTCCCCAATCAGTTTGTCATTTACCATAGATTCTAGATATATAGAATAGAATTTGTTTTTCAATTAATTGCAAATTCACAGGTTGTTTTTAGTCATTTAAAATGTTGCCATATTGTTATTACTTTTTTCCTAAGATGCCTTCCTTTTTTTCTTTTTTTTTTCTGTTGACATCACGTTTACAGGTTTTTTGGGTTTTTTTTGGCGATTTTTCACTATTTATTTATGTATGTATGTATGAATTTATGTGTGTATTTAGTAAGTTCATTTGTTAGCAGTTATTTGGTTGATTGTGCATTCACAGTTTGTTTTTCTCAAAAAGAAAAATGAATTAATTAACATTCATTCATACATATATATTCATTATCTCTTTTTCAGATGATTGAACATTTACAGGTTGTTTTTCCCGAATAGTATTTCAGTCATTTTTTACTATTTATTTATTTGTTTGTTTGTTTGCTAAAATATATATTAGCTATATATTTTCTTAAACACATTTATTTATTTATTTATTTATTTAACTGTTTATTAGCTATTTTTATGACAGTTGCACATTTACAGGTTGTTTTATTTAAACACATTTATATATTAACTTATTTACTTTTTTGCTGTTTTTTTTTTCTCCAAAAATGTAATTTTTACTACCTATATATTTATTTAATTATTTTTTTCAAATATTTATGAGCAATTTTTCACTATATATTTTCTTAAACACATTGATTTATTTATTTAACTGTTTAATAGCTATTTTTATGACAGTTGCACATTTACAGGTTGTTTTATTTAAACATATTTATATATTAACTTATTTACTTTTTTGCTGTTTTTTTTTCTCCAAAAATGTCATTTTTACTACCTATATATTTATTGAATTATTTTTTTCAAATATTTATGAGCAATTTTTCAGTTGATTGCACCTTTACATGTTGTGTTTCTCAAAAGAAAAAAAATATTATGATACATTTTTTGTCTTATAATTGATGCTAGGTCCTATATTGATATCATTTGCCTTTGTTTACACTGCACCCACATTTTGCTCCATCCTCTACAGTACCTGAGATCGTACGAGAAACCCACGATTTGATCGAGCAGGGTGAGCTGCTTCAAGCTCACCGCAAGCTAATGGACCTGGAGTGTTCCCGCGATGACCTCATGTATGAGCAGTACCGCATGGACAGCAAGAACGTCCATGACATGAACCTCATTCGTGGCTACTTCGGCCAGGTGCAGGGCCTGTCAGAAGGACTCTCCAAACAACTCTGGATGGTCCTCCAGCGCGCCATGGTCACCGTCCGCCGTGACCCCACAATGCTGGTGTCTGTGGTCCGAATCATCGAGCGCGAAGAGAAGATCGACCGCAAGATGCTGGACCGTAAGAAGCAGGAACCAAGTGTGAAAGCACCCTTAATGAAGTAGGGAGTTGCATGAGTACTTGAGTGCTCTGAAGTCTTTTCTGAAGAAAGTTTTATTTATTTATTTATTTTTTTCAGGTAATTGCGCATTTACAGGTTGTTTTAGTCATTTTTACTACTTAAGTATTTATTTAGTTAGTTGGTTAATTAGCTATTAGCTATGGACAGCAATAATTGATCATAAAATGAAATTTTTCATTTACATTTTTTTTCAGTAAATTGCATATTCTCAGGTGCTGTTTGTCCCAAACAGTATTTTTGGCCATTTATTTATAATACTAATACTACTACTACAAATAATAATATAAAATATAGCATTCATTATTATTATTATATTTATAATAATTTTTTCTAAAATACTGTGTGTCATATTTATTCTGTTGATATTACATTCACAGGTTATATATAGGAATATTGGTGTTTCAAACCGAGCTTATTAAATCTCACCAGGGTAACGTTATCTAGCTGGCTAGAAAGCTCATGGTAATTTTATCATATGGCATCATTTTCAAGCAAAAAAATGTTTATGAATGTATTTTTCAGCTGTTACTTTAAATGAAAAACCTAGTGAATTTTAATGTAAAAAAAAAACATTTGCTGGATGGGAAAACTACCATTTGTGCTGTTGCCTTTACTACCCTAACTCACCATTGCATTCTTCAGTGACAGATCAGTCTGTCAAAGCACAGCAGTGAGCAATTAGCTCAATATTTAAAGCAGAGCCGAGAGCAGCAGCACAGCTTTGTGTGCTTAATCTGACTGATGGACTCACAGCAGACCATCACATCGCGTGAGCTCACAGGACTGAGCAGGAAGATTAATGTACTTATTGTAGTAGATCTAAACAGTGCAGGAGAGAGACGAGCAGCCTGCAGATCTTCAGCTCTGCTTTTTGTTGCTGTCTTACACGCTGAAGGACTGTAGTAGAACATGCTGGGATGCATTATGAACTATGCATTACTCTTTTTTTTGTTGCGTCCATCAATATTATTATTTATGTACTATTATAATATTTATTAAATATTTTTATATTTGCAGTTTTCATTTTAGTTTGAATAAAAACGTATTTTATTTCAGTTAGTTGCAAAGGCAACATTTCAAATTTTCATTGAAGTTTTTGAAGTTTCATTTATTTCAGCTTTAAAAGTATTTTATTAGTTTTATTAATAATAATACTTTAAATATTAATAATAGTTTTACTATTAACTAGTATTGAATAGTTTAATAGTTAACAGTAAAAAAACTTGCATCCATATGAATCTTATCCTGGTCATATTTCCAAAAATATAAAAAATAAGAAATAACTTTTAAATGAAGCTAGTTTAGTACCTTAAATGTAAAGCATTGTGACATTATTCTGCCAGTTAAATATTTTCCCTGCACATTTTCACCTAGTTTCAGTTACAAAATCTTTACAGTAAATAATTTTTAAAAATATTTTTTATAAATTTATATTGTATAAAATATTGTGTGCAAGTTTGAGCAATTTTGCGAATGTTTATGTTGCCACATGTAAGCATTATATATTACCTATGCTCTTGATATCAGCATCAGCCATTATAAAGCCCATACAGGTTGAAATAAACATATTTGATTCTGTCAAACTAATAATACATAATAAATCCGTTGTAAGGCATTTCTCTGACATTGATGAGGAGCAGAAATGGGTGCAGTTCATGTGCATTTGTGTGAGAGTGATGTCTGGTTCTGTCTCTGGCAGTGTGGATATGATGGGTCATCCTGATCTGCAGCCCGAGTGTGACGTCAAGCAGCTGGAACCGCTGTTGCCCCAGCACGTGGTGGATGATTTGCTGGGCAAATACCTCAAAACCTTTACTGTGAGTCCCTCAAGGCTGCAGCACTGGATTAAATACAAAACCCTTTATATCTTACATATTACGCAGCCTTTTGAAATGCTGTGCATGAACAAGCATTGTCAGTTTAGCAGCTCTTTGTTGTTTTCCAATTCTCTCCAGTCGAACATCACAGGCTGGCTGCGCAAAGCTCTGGAAACTGATAAGAAAGACTGGCAGAAGGAGACGGAACCTGAAGCCGACCAGGACGGCTACTACCAAACCACCTTACCTGCTATTGTCTTCCAGGTCCAACAACTTCTGCTTTAATGCACCCACTCACTTGAGGTTCTCCATGAGATCTTCCTTTATTTCAAGCGTTCCTCTTCCTCCTCAGATGTTTGAGCAGAATCTCCAGGTGGCCGCGCAGATCAACGAGACCTTTAAAGAGCAGGCGAAGAGAAGATCGACCGCAAGATGCTGGACCGTAAGAAGCAGACTGGGTTCATCCCACCTGGGAGGCCCAAATGCTGGAAAAATCGAATGAACGAAGTCCTAGAGGGCACCGTGAGCGGTCGCATCGAGAGCACGCAGTCGGAAACACGCGAGTCCGACAAAATGTGGCTGGTGAGGTTGCTGGAGATCACTAGGAAGTACGTTCTGGACGACCTGACCGTGGTGAAGAACCTGATGGTGCAGTGCTTCCCTCCACACTACAACACCTTCCAGGTGTTCTTCGACCTCTATCATAAATCAGTGTCGGCACGCGTGCAGGAGCTCGCAGCAGAAGATCTGGAAGCCAATGAGATCGTGTCTCTTCTCACATGGGTCCTCAACACGTATAAAAGGTGAGATACTAGTGGACTGCATTTAGGGTGCTTTCACACTAGCACTTTTGGTGCGCACCCGGGTTCGTGGCCGTGTTTTTTTGTATTTTTTCCCACTTACCATTAAAAAGATGCTGTTATTATTAGTCAAGACGCACATTTTCACCCTTCGTACATGTGTGTGCAGGTACCGAGAGGAGGCGATCAACTATAAGGAGGAACATCTGAAAGATCGTCAGCTCCCACAATGCTACGTTCAGTACATGATCGCCATCATCAACAACTGTCAGACGTTCAAGTGAGTCTTTAAATCAATAATTAAACGTTATGAAAGCAATACATTACATTATTGCATAATTCAGGGTCTCTGGGAAAAATTTAAATTGTTATCATTTACTCATCCTCATGTCGTTGCAAACCTGCATGACTTTCTTTTTTTTCTGTGGGACGCCAACGAAGATATTTTGAAGAATGTTGGTAAGCAAAAAGTTCCAGGTCAATGAAAGTCATGCAGGTTTGGAATGACTCGAGTAAATGATGACAGTTTTTCATTTTTGGTTGAACTATCCCTTTAATTATCATTTTAAGATATCTTAAATTTGGAGATGGTAAAAAAAGGAATTACTGTACCTTATGGCCTGTGTTTATTAAACTTCAAAAGGTGATGATTTATTGAAGACATACATAATTAATTATATTTGTGCATTCTTAAATCTAAAGCAATGCATTATTTTTGCAGTATTTCTTCTTAGAAACCAGTGTTAGACTGCTAATGAACCAAACTAATGTCTTAATTAACTTCAATATGTTTCTTTTCAGAGAGTCTATAAATAGTCTGAAAAGGAAATACTCTCAGTCGACTGAACCCACTCAGAACGACGCCGCCATAGACAAGCTCCTGAACGAGGTGGCCAGAGAGGGCTGCCAGTTCCTGCTAGATGAAGTCTTCCTGGATTTGGAGGTACTGTAAATACGCTCAGGTTGTGTACTGTCAGTTGTTGAGGTTTAGTGACTGGGATAAATGTGTTGGATTTTGACTGTTTCTTTGTCTCTTGACAGCATCATCTTAATGCGCTGCTGACCCGGAAGTGGTTGACAGGCTCTCATGCTGTAGACACCATCTGTGTGACCGTGGAAGACTACTTTAATGACTTTGCCAAAATTAAAAAGCCTTACAATCAGGTTTGCACACTAAAACATTTCAGAAAAAGTGTCATCTTATACTAGCCGAGTCGTATTTGTTATAATGCTGAATTTGCACTTTTTATGATAAGACCAGAGGGCTGTGCTGTACAATCATGTACAAAAAAATCTAAAAAAGTTTGAGGATTTTTTACATTTATTTGATCAATAATACAGTAAAAACAGTAATTTAGTGAAATATTATTACAATTTAAAATAAATGTTTTCTATTTGAATATAATGTATTTCTTTAATGCAAAGCTGAGTTTTCAGCATCATTACTCCAGTCTTCAGTGTCCTTCAGAAATCATTCTAATATGCTGATTTGCCGCTCAAGAAACATTTTTTATTATAACTGTTGAAAGCAGTTTGTGGAAACACTGATGATTTTTTCGGAATACTTTAATGAATAGAAAGTTCAAAAGAACAGCATTTATTTGAAATCTTTTGTCAAATAAAAATGTCTTTCCTGAAAAAAGGTATTCATTTATTTAAAAAAAAAAAAAATACAATCTTACAGACCTCAAACTTTTGAATGTATTTTATGTGTGCATTCATTTCCTACAGTTCAAAAAATGAATCTAATGCAAACGTAACACTGTTCAGCACTAATTGATACTGTTTTTGTTGTTGTGTTGTGATTGGTGTTTTCTGATGTTTGTGTTAAACAGGAAATGACGAGTAAGGCTCATCGGCGGGTGGTGGTGGAGTATCTGAAGGCCATCATGCAGAAGCGCATCTCGTTTAAGAACGCCGACGAGAGAAAGGAGGGAGCCGACCGGATGATGAAAGAAGCCGAGCAGTTCAAATTCCTCTTCAGGAAACTTTCTGCTGTGAGTCTCACAACACCAAACGTTCTGCACTGAGATGGAATGATGTGCTATAATCCAAGAGATCAATCAGTGTTGTAGTGTTGATTGTTCTAGTGTTTTTGGCAGCACAGGAACATGTAGCATCAGCAGTATCTTTTCGAAGAGCTCTTTGTAAAGCGTGTTTGTATGTGCTCAGGGAGAGGACACAGACCGGCTGTGTGACGCCATCGCTGCTATCGCAGAGGTCTTCAAACTGACCGATCCTGCGCTGCTCTACCTGGAGGTGTCCACCCTGGTGTCCAAATATCCTGACATCAGGTCAGACTTCATTACATTGAAATCATTGTTAAAATAAAGTTTTCATTTCTTAGAGAGATGACAAGTTTTGTGAGATACAAAGGAAAAAAATGAGAAATATATTTTAATTAAAGATAATAAAGCCTGTTTTGAGTGCCATTTGGTTTTCAGCATTGTGATATTTCTGTAACAATTACTAATTCTCATTGTAATATATATATATATATATATTATATATATATTAGTTATGGAAGCCTGTTTCAGCCACTGAATAAAAAATAAAAGAGGTAATTGCGACTTTTTATCTCACAATTCTGACTTTTTTTCTCAGAAT